AGAAGCCCTTTTGTTTTCTAACGAAAGAGAGAAAGGGAGTGAATTCAGATAGAAGACCTGGGGAGGAACTGGAAGGAGTAGAGGGAGGGGAGCCTGTAATCAGAATATAAAAATGTAAGAAAAAAAACTATATTCCATAAGAGAAAAAATAAACTGAAAACCAGAATATAGCCCTATGCAACCAGTGTAGGAAAACATATTTTCAAATAAATTCTGTATTCAAATGTAGAGGAAAGGAAGACAATGCAGCCACTCCTGATGAGACCTGATAGACTAGAGTCAGATGGAAGGGGAAGAGGACCTCCCCTATCAGTAGTCTGGGGGAGGGGCACAGGTAGGGAAGAGAGAGAGAGGGTGCGATTGAGAGGGGAGGAGGAAGGGAGGCACGGGGGTGGGGCACAAAGTGAATAAATTCTAATTAATAAAAATAAAAAAAAATGTAGAGGAAAAACAGATTTCATGTATCCTAAAACTGAGCATCCTAAAACTGAGGCCACAAATATCATCAAATGTCTAGAACTTGTTGTCACATAAAAGATAAAGATAGGTATTCTTTTAATATCATACAATGACATTTAAATTTTTAACTGAAAATATTTTAAGTTTAAAATGGAAAATTATTATTTTATATTTTATTTTATATTATAAGTTTTGTGTGTGTGTGTGTGTGTGTGTGTGTGTGTGTGTGTGTGTGTGTGTGCGTGCAGATGCCTGAAGACTGAAGAGACTTCAAGTGTGTCAGATCCCCAGGAGCTAAAATTACAAGTCGTAGTAAGCTGACAGAAACTGGTACTGGGAGCCAAACATATCCTCTTTAAGAGCAGTACAGGCTCTTAGCTCTATCCCCCACCCTCCCCCCCAAGTCATCTCTCATTCCCCATTCTGGGCGTGTCTGTGTTTTAAAAGAAATTTTATGAGCTGCATGTAGTAACCCACACTTCTTATTTCCAGAAAAAAAAAAAAAAGGAGGAAAAAAAAGAAATTTTATGATTTTGGAAAATGTGAATGAAACTGCAAAACAGGTATTACAGCATTCTAATTGTATGGCTTTTTAATAAAATAAGATAAAAATACTTTTAAAATACAAATGAATATTCGCAGGCATAGTGGTACATGCCTGTAATACTGCAGTCATGAGGCAGAGGCATTTGGATCTCTGAGAGTTCAAGACCAGTATAGCCTATATAGTGAAAATCTGCAAGTTCCAGACCAGCCAGAGTTACACAGTATGAAATTCTGCCTCAAAAACAAATTAGCATTTCCTATAAAATTAATTCAGTTATAATAAGATATTGTCTAGTGTATAATGATTAAGGACATAAACTCTAAACTCCAAATTCCAGAATTAAAAATCTTAGCACATCACTTATTAACTATATACACCTCTTTTGATCTATCATTAATGTTTGTTTTTTTTTTTCATTTAGCATACAAAGAAGTGGGTTTCCTTGTGAGTAGTAGCATATGCTATAGCTTAAGTATAACTTGCTCTTATAAATTTTTCCTTTTTAAATTCCTAACCAAAAATGAATGAATGAATGAAGAAAGAAAGAAAGAAAGAAAGAAAGAAAGAAAGAAAGAAAGAAAGAAAGGAAGGAAGGAAGGAAGGAAGGAAGGAAGGAAGAAAGAAAGAAAGAAAAGAAAAATACTATAGCACTCCATGCTAGCTTCTCTTTCTGACATTGGTGTAGGAAAAATTGTCAAAAAAAAAATGTTGTTGTTCTCACATAGTGAGTTGATAAATATACCTATATGATTTTCCGGAATTTACTATTCTATGATATAGAATAGTATTTTATTATTTATACAAATAAAATCACTTTTTTTCTAAAAAAAATAAACAGCATACTTAATGATGCAGAAGTTGCATTTAAATGCATATAAATTTTAAATTATATTCTTTGCAGCTTTTTCAAAACTATTGGAAATACTCAATGTTATAGGATTCAATATGATTCCTAACTAGAGTTTAACAATTATCTTACAGAGATTTGGGGGATTTTAGTGCAGTTCCAACTAGAATTGTCTTTTGAAGAGCCAGTTCAAAGCTGTATGGTTTGCTGTCCACTTCTTCTGACCTCATATCTCTGTGACAAACATAATCATAACTGTCATAGTTACTATCCAGTGTAATGCCTTAAAATATTCTTGCTAGTTACTTTTTATTTGAACATGGAAAGTTATAATAGAAGAATTACTAACTGTAATTATCTTCTTTTGGATCTCAGGTTCCTTGTGTAAAGTTAATCTCGTCATTTCAATCACCATCAATATCCTCCTTGGAATTAAGTATGGTTTCTCAGCCTTAGAAATCTAAAAGCAATCGCTGTTTGCTTAGACATTATCTTTTTACTATGACCACATTAGAGATTCACAAATGTAACAGCCCAGATTCCTTTTAAATGAAGGCCAAATTGGAAAGTATTTGGTTTAATTTACACTATCTTCAACAAACTACAAAAACCCCACTATTTTCTTACCAAATACTTGCAAGGAGACAGACATATAAAGTACAAACTTTGAGAGCCAATTTTTCTTTTCTCTCCAAAGATATAGTAGGACATGTAGTTCCTAGCATATTTCTTTTTTTTAATTTTTTATTATCATTTCTTACAATTTATTTAATTTGTATTCCGGCTGTGGCCCCCTTGCTTGCCTCCTCCCAATCCCACCGTCCCTCCCTCTTCTACCCCTGTACCCCTCCCCTAGTCCACTGATAAGGGAGGTTCTCCTCCCCTCCTGTATGACCCTAACCTATCAGGTCTCACCAGGACTTGCTGTATTATCTTCTTCTGTAGCCTGGCAGTGCTGTACCCCCAGGGGGAGTTGATCAGAGAACCTGTCACTGAGTTCATGCCAGAGAAAGCCCCTGCTCCCCTTAGTAGGGACTCCACTTGGAGACTAAGCAGGGGTTACATCTGAGCAGGGGTTTTAGGTCCTTTCCATGCATTGTCCTTGATTGGGGTATCAGTCTCTGCAGGGCCCACAGTACCCAGTTTTTATTTTTATTTTTATTTTTATTTTTATTTTATTTTATTTTATTTTGGCTCTGTTGATCTCCTTTTGGAGCTCTTGTCATCTCCAGGTCTTTCTATCCCCTCCTTCTTTCATAAGATGACTTGCACTCTGCACAAAATTTGGCTATGAGTCTCAGCCTCTGCTTTGATACCTCAATTAGTAGAGTCTTTCAGAGGCCATCTGTGGTAGGTTCCTGTCCTGTTCTCTGTTTTCTTCTGCTTCTGATGTCTATCAATGTCCTTCTGAATGAGGATTGAGCATTTTCCCTAAGTTCTTCCTTGTTGTTTAGCTTCTTCCAAGCGTATTTCTTGAAAAGCCATCTCTTTAGAGTGAGACAATCTGTACAATGATTGGGATAATGCTAACATTAATCCCAAATACATTGCAAACCCTCTAGAAGGAGTGCCTACAGATTCAGGTTAATAAAACACACATTTCCAGATTAAAAAGAAAAACACTTTATTACTTTATAGTTACAGAATTATCTCATGCCCAAGAAACCCAGAAATGTTCTTTTTAATTCTTCCTTTGGTGGCCACTTCCTCTTCCTTAGTCGATACAAATATATGTTCTAAGGACTACCACTTCCTTTTCTTGCCTGTACACCAAATGTCCATGCTATGTAAATTTCAGACCTAAATACCAATGAATTGTCAGCCTAAGAAGCTTAAATGTCTCTCATATTTATCTGCACTACAAGACACTTAAAATAATACCCACAACTTTCAGAAAAATAAAATAAGCTCACATATTTCTCCCATATTTATTCAAAATGTGATAATACTTCTGTTTCTAATGTAATTTTGTGAGTTGTAACTGAAAACTTCTTGAGATTTTGCTTAGTGACGTGTAGTAATGTTTAAGAATTAAAAAAAAAACAGTAAAGTTTTTGGAAGAAAAACTACATTTTCTAAAACATGGCTTAGTTTTATAGCTTTCTATTAATAGGATTTGCATGGCTTACATTAAGTCATAAAATTGACTTGGAAATAATGAACTATTTGGCTTCTTCTCATTAAGACTATACAGATTATTACAGTATTAGGACAATATATTTACTATAAAAGACTCTGTAGCCAGAATCATACTAATACCCAACCTATGGATTTTTTGATGACCCCAAGAAAATTGTGTTAAAATAATTTTTATTTCCTATGCTTATCTTCAGTTTGTGCCTGCAGCATTCAACTCAAACTCAGTATTGACCTAATACATAAAAAACATAAGCAGGAAAAATTATATAAGCATGTGTCATGTGTATACTTAACTGTTAATACTGAGGCATGTTGCTTAACCTTTTTGCTGTTACAGTTATTCATTTGTATTTGTAATTTCCATATTTATCATCACATATTATAAAACTAAGATGAGATGTTCTTTATAAAAAATACATAGCAAAGTGCCAATCCAGAAAATGAGAGACATTTATAAATGTTCAAAGAGTGGATTTTCATGCCCTCCATTCAGTAGCAAGAATTCAGTGGTAAAAGTCATTCACACATTGTTTTAACTTTTTCTGTCACGTTGCCTTTGTGTTATGTTTTTAAAATACTTGAAATATTCACTCCATTCAGAAATAAAAATTTTCCATGGAAGACATTTACTTTTCTGTAAAGATTAATACATGGCTTGCACCTCAGTATGATTATATTTACAGAAGACAACTTTAAATGCATGCATTCAATTTATATTTAGTTGGAAACATCTTTTAAAATTTAATCTGGGACTTACGACTAATAAAATGCCATGAATTTGGAATTGAAAGCAGATGTATCCTATTTTCCTTTCTTCTTCCACATGTTTTTACATTGTTCCTCCATCTAATGTGGAGGCATAACCATGACACCACACCATCATACAATAAAACTTATTTCTTTTATTTCCAAGGCTCAATAAAAGAAATTGTTTGCCTGGCAATTCCACCTTTGGAACAAGCGAAAGAACATAGATAAAGTGAATCATAACTGAAGAATTATGACATCTTAGTTAACCATTGATGAGCCACTCTCCCTGCTCATGAGACGAGAACGGGTAACAGAGCTACCATGGCGAGATAGTTGGTCACGAAACTCTGAAGCCATGAAATAATAAAGAATTGGGTCCAAAAGGCAACAGAGACTTGCGAGGCACAGGCTAAAAGGATGGAAATACAGTGTGCTTTTGACAATTGGACAACTGGCAATGATGCTTTCCTTTACCATGGTGTAAAAAATGAAGTTAATGTGATAAGGAGTGAAGCAGATAACAAAGACTGCAGCACACATAAAAACCATCCGCAGAGCTTTTTTCCTCTCACTAATCCGTTGAAAAGCAATCGGTGGCTCTTTCAAAGATACAGTTGTTTTCCAGGTACAATATGCAATGGTGATCACTGGAATCACAAATCCAGCAAGCTCAGCAATTGTAACCATGGTGACCAGAACCACTGCATTCATCTGTTTGTATCCAAGATCAGCAAAGCAGAATTCACTGTTACTGGCTAAGCCAGCACTTCTCAAGATGGGAAATGGCAAACAGGCAGTCCCCACGATGATCCAGATGGCAGCGCTGATGCCCACATCGTATCTACGCTTCCAGTTTCTGGCTCTAAATGGCTTGAGGAGAAAGAGGCATCTCTGAAGGCTAATGCATGCCAAGAAAAAAATGCTGGCATACATGTTGAGATATTTCAGATAGAAGCACAGCAGGCAAAGGGCTCTCTGGAATGGCCAGTGATGATTGATATAATAGTAAATCCGCAGAGGTAAGGATAGGATGTGAGCAAGGTCCGCCACTGAGAGGTTGATCATGAAAATGATGGCCTTATTCTTCTTGCTGATGAAGCGGCACAGAACCCACAGGGCTGCACTGTTAGCCAGGAGACCAGGAATAAATATGAAGATATACGTGGTTGCATACAGAGAGTACTGAAATGTCAAATGAGTGACATTGCAATTACTCTCAGCAGTGCTGGTACTGTTGCTGCCCATCTTGAATATCTCAGTGTGTTCATCAAGGTAAACTGTGGAATTATGACTCCTGCCCCAATAGAAATAAAAAGCACAATGGTTAACTACTACTTTAGTGAATAATTTTACATTGAGATAAATATTACAATTAGAGATAACACACAGTTCAGTAAGTGGAGGATCAAAGAAGATGCACTATTGACCCAACATTGCACATTATATCAGTTAAGATATGATGGAAATGTGCCTTGACATGATGTATTGTATTCTTACCATAACAAAGACATTGTGGCATTTAAATATATTCTTTAACTTGCTTCTCCAGCATGTATACATATCAGTCTGTATACATCTACAAATATACTTTAAATGAAATCTTCCTATCCAGGCTGACACCACTCCACCAAGAGATATAAACTATCTAGCAAATCCCCAATGCCATGCATGAGAATACTATTTTCAGTTGTTGCTTAAGAATGTTCAAGAGACTTCCAAAACATTATAGGCTGTTGCTATTGCCCTTGCTTAACAGAGATGGAATCTAAGTTCTTATTGTTGAAGACACCATACATTTTGGACACAGGACCCAGAGAACATATTCTGTATCTTCCCTTCAAGATTCTTCTGTCAGGACCAGCTTTCAACAGTACCAGAAGGCAGCATGCATAGCTTCCAGAAGAATAAAGCAACTGATAGCTATGATGCCTATGAATCACAGAAACAACGAGCATGAGACAGAATCCCAAGGGTGACATCAATGCTGGAATGCACACCTTGGTAGTAACTAACAGCTTTCTAACCTGAGGTTAAGCCATGCCCACTCAAGAAATCATGCCTTGTACTGAAAACCAGCCAACTATCCAGGCTAGCGAACTCATGAATCTTGGAGGAAAACCTACAGTTGACATTTTACTAAACCAGCATCATCCCTAACTATATGCTAAACATTTGTCCTACCTAAATATAAGTGAATCCCTCACCCCTTGTCAAGGAAATTTATTTTTGCAATAAACAGAGGCCATTAAAGAAAGCCAGAAGCAATAAAAAACACAGAGTTTTCTACCCCAATCCTAAGGGATACTTCTACAGTACAACTGAATCTAAGACTCAAAGATCATTGAGAAAGAGAGTGGAAAGATTGTAAGAGCCATAGGAACAAGAAATTAGCTATGAGATTGTATCTCTTAGAAACATTGGAGAATAGATACCCATGAAGTCTCAGTCAGCATTACTGCCTAAATATGAGCCGAACAGGGAAACCACCAATAGACATGCTACTGTGGAAGGGGAAAAAAGTCATGAGGATATATGTGTGTGAGAGAGAGAGAGAGAGAAAGAAAGACTCCATTACATGGAATGAGAAGAACCCATTATGTTTATATATTTTAGGAGCACACACACAGAGACTACAACAACAATAAAATAAAAGACCATGAATTTTAGAAAAGTAAAATAGATACACAGGAGGGGTTGGAGGAAGGAAAGATAAAAGGAAAAATGATATAACTGTATTATAATTTCAAAAATAATTTAAAATTCTGAAAGTATCCCATACTAGTGCAACATCGGTAGAGGACACATTATCCAACAGTCACAATGAACATTTCCCTAGTACCAGTAAAACAGGCCATCCAAATTATTTTTTGAAAACAACTTAAAATTTGATTTTATATTCATTAAATTAATCAACATAAGAATAAAACTTTTGGACACTTAATATCATATGATGAATCACTGTGGTTTCAGTTATGTGTTATGTCGGAGTACAGAAAAAAGTAGACTAATCTGTAGGGCTTCTAAAGTTCTGCAGAGTTGTACAGGTTAACTGCAGAAAACAATGAGAGGCAGCAACAGACTCATCATCTTAACATAACTACCTTACAAAATCTCAGATTAGGATGACCCTTTGAAAATCACTTTTTCAGCATATATATAATACAGGAGTGGGAAGCAAGGAAGAAAAAAAGTGATAAATGAAAAATCTGAGAATTCAAATGTGAAGTGTCTTAATCTCTACAGATATTCTTCTCAATCTTCATTTTCCTCCCCACAACAATTTACACAGGTATCCCTTTTATAAGATTGCAAGGATAATTATCTTAGTCAAAGATTCAAGGGTACAAAAATAAGGACGAAAGAAAGGAGGGAAAGAAGGAAAGAGGTAAGCAAGCAAGCATGCCCTAGATTAGTTCCTGATATGAAGTGGCTTATTATTTTTTACTTTTTATTCTGGTGTGTGAATAATTACTACAATGTTGTAGTTGTGTTGTAGTTTTAAGTTCTCTTTGTTTGTGGAGGAATGGCATCTGATAGAATTTTCAGTGCCATTGCAATACACAGAGATGGGATAAACTAACAAAACCCCAAGTGATGATTCACAGACAGAAAAGAATCCAAGCACTTTCACTTTCCCTGCTCTTCTCTTTCACATACAAATCTACTTGGCCTCTCATCAGTGATTTATCATAAAGAGTAATGTATTCATTCTGTATGTGTATAGATGACTTAGCGTAGAGAGGTGCTCAAAGGTGAAAAGAAGGAAATTATATTTTAACCATGAAGGTGTACACCAGAATCAACAAAAGAAGTCTCCACGTGTTTTATCTAATGCACGTGTATAAAATATTATTTATTATTAAATTAATAATTATTATTATATATTATAACATTGTTATTATTTCCATCATAACACAGATGGGAAAAGAGACCTTCAGAGAAATTTAGTGACTATAGAGATTGTCTTAGTCCATGTGCTATTGTTGTGAGGAGACACCATTACTAAGGCAACTCTCATAAAAGAACTCATTTAATTGGAGGCTTGCTTACAGTTTAGGAGGGTTGGTACATGCTCCTCATGGTAGAAAACAGACAGACATGAAGCTGGAGCAATAGCTGAGAGCCTTTATCCTGATTGACAAGTATCAAGGAGAGATAGGAGAAAGAGAGAGAGACAACTGGGCCCTAGCATGGGTTTTTGAAATCTCAAAGTGCATCCCCAGTAACACACCATTTCCAACAAGGTCACACATACTTCAGCAAAGTACTCCTCATCCTTCCCAAACACTTCCAGTCTTGGTGACTAAGAGGGTGACATTCAAACCCCCATTGAAATAACAAAGCTAAGCATACCATTTCGCAGGGTTGTTCCAAGTCTTAAGGTATTTTCAATTTGGCGGTTGCCTCACTGCAGCTACGTGTGACTTTAAAATGTAGCTAGCTTACACAGTATTTTCACAGATTCAGTAAGAATAGCCTCTGGTTCATGTGTTAAATTCTATGTCCTCAGCTCTTGGTGCTCTGGAAATTTTAGGAGGTGAGGCCTAACTTAATGATGTGTGTCACTGGTGGTCATTTCTGTCTGTTTTCCATCCACCATGGTGGACGCTCTCTGCCACCGTGAACTGAGTAAAAGTAAATCTTGGCCAACAATCACTTGGACCTCCACATTACCATTGCTTCTGTTGTCACGTCTTACCCATGCAGAGGCTACAAGAGAGCAAAGGAAGTTACCAGCACCCTACAAATTTCAAGAACTAAGAACAGCTCACGCCCAGTCAAATCACACTTCCACTTTTGCACTTAACAAACAGGGCTATTTCGTTTTTGCTTCATTGGTGCAGACAGTTTCACTTACTAACAGAGCATGTTCTCATAACACCCTTGAGTTAAATAACAGCTCTTTCAGCCAAAACAGAAAGCTCAAGTCCAGTTTGCATCTTCTTTTATTATTATGGGTTGCGTGCCTCTGAATCTGTTACATATACAACTCAGATATTCGCTATTAGTCACAAAATTAAAGATTCTCATGATATGGTTACGAAACCTCTTTTCTTCTCCAAACAGAAGAGTAACTGGAAAGAGGTTTCCCTCAATCTTCTCAGTAAAAATTAAGTGAAAAAGCTCCATGCTGGGGAGAGATGAGGAATTTACATTTGGTTCAACAGAAATGTAACACCTTGGAACAGGAACACCTAGCTTGCTCTGAAGAATCTGTGTCACTCTGAAATTTAAGAGAAAAAAAAAGTAATCTAAAAATCTACTAAGCCACAAATGTCTAGCATGTTCCCTCTTTGTCTCCATATTTGTTACTGTTCTCTATCATGTCCATTTTTCTAGCTTTGTCTGTGCCTCTCTAACCCCCTGTCTCTCATTTTCAATTGCTCTCTCTATTTCTGGTTCGTTTTTCTTACGTTGTCACCATTGCTTACCTTTAATCTAGACATAATTCTAGTTCCTGTCTCACAAAGAGATGTGAAATTTGTGATTCATTCCTGAGTGTGTACTTCCCTTTTCGGCATCTGTTGCTCCTTTTATCTAGAATGACCCCCTCCATTTATACATCTAGCCACTCTGAGTCTTGGTTTCAAGGGTTAGAGAAGCCTTCACCATTTGATCTTTCAAAGTAATCCTATTTATCATTACTTGTTCTTTATTCTTTTTTATAATTCTTTATTAATTACACTTTCTTAATCTTTGTAGCATCAACATTAGAAATGTACAGATTCACTTAACCATTTACTCACCACCTTGTTCACTCTGTTATTAATTGTATTGGTGTCATAAAAAGATGTTTTGTCCATCACCAAGTAGCTACTAAGCACTCAAAGAATTTTATATGTAAATTTTACAAATCTCCCATCTTAAAGATTTGCAAAAATAAAAACCTTGAGGTATCAACTAGAACACTTTTGTTTCCTGCTGCTTCCCTACAAATTCTGTCTTCTGATTTGGATTATTAGTCTGCCTAGCATGTACCCTTTCCTGCTCAGGAAAGTCTGTAGAGGTTTAAAAGAAAAAGAAAACAATTTAGAAATCACAAGTGGCCACATACATTTTTTTTAGCAAAAGTCAGCATATCCCAAGATCTCAGACTATCCATCATCAGCTGGACTTAAGGAAAAAGCCAGTCTTTATAATAAGTTTATCATGGTGTTTTATACTTTTATTTCATTATTTTTCATTGCAAATTATAAAACTATTACAGATATGTACACTTGATCCATTTTATTAGCAAATGGCTTCTCATATGCACTTGGGACTTGGACTGGCAATGAAAGACTGAATCTGCAG